GCCCCCCCCCCCCCCCCCCCCCGCCCCCCCCCCCCCCCCCCCCCCCCCCCCCCCCCCCCCCCCCCCCCCCCCCCCCCCCCCGGAGCCAATTGCTCCAGTTAGACCGTTAGCGTGGACACCAAATTCCCTAAATCTTTCATTATTATAGTGAATTTCCTAAGTACAGTTTCTTACAACTCTTACCGTTGATTCCTTAGCTGTCTCCCTGACGTATAGGAGGCATATGAGCGTTACATCCAATTTGACAACAAAGTCGTAGTGGCAGGTGGGCAAACTGTCCGCCGTATGAAGTATACCGTTAGTACGATTTGACCTTCAGATTAAATCTTTTTGGTGATTGGAGGCATCATAGGAGCTCTAGGGTATGTTTTCCAGGTATTCGGGGCCACTTCCGAGCCATCTATAATACTGTCGCCTTGTTTGTCATGATAGACGTTGCCTCAACGTGAACGAAAAGGCAGAGATCAGGCCTCACCTCAGTAGAAATTCCAGATGTAAATTCTAGACTTACCTAAAATACAAGGGCAAACTAAAACTATGCTGTCCAAAAAGGAAAACCAATACATCATTCCGCATAGCTCATAATTAAAGAGACTCGGAAGGAATTTAGCCGCTACTCATCTGGCAAGAGAAGAACCGCCAGAAATGGAAAACAGTAGGGAAACCAGGAAAGAAAGAAAAAAGAAAGAAGTGTGACCGAGAGTTCTATGCTATCAATGAATTTCCGTTGACTGAACCTATGTTAGTAATACCCTTCTAGAACGGACGCCGCAAAATACAGAAATACTACTTTTATCTTCCGTAATACAGGTTAGAGAACGTTTGAGGTAGGCGAACACTGTATTAAAACATTCGGAAGAGGAGCTATAGAGGGCGTGTTTGCTAGATATTCTTTGTTCTCAGCCAGTCCTAATGCGCTGGCTCTGGCTGATGGGGCTCGTTCCACTCAAATTTAAAGAGTTGTTCCTCAAGATCCTTTATTGCCTTTTTTACAATGTTCACTGAATGCAAGCCTCTCTTAGTGTCGGGGTCATTCTGGGCTTCATTAAGTAAGTGGAAGTGATCTGCTGCGCATCGCCCGATTTCTCCAGGTTCGTTTGAATGAATCCCCCACATCTCCTGTAGGGTCATCGCCCTGTTGACGAGGTTTGTGAGATCCTCTGAAGTCTGTACTATCTCCCCATATACTTGGTCCGGTTCTGGGTGAATTGCAGGCATCGCGGCTAGGGAGACTAAGGAGTAGGTTAATGTTCCGTGGATAAGGAACGTTCTGTTGAGATGATATACTAACAAGATACTGAAATATGGAAGTAAGAAGAACTATAGTCTGAAGATTGCAAGGTTGGGGGGTTCCGGGCGTGATGGTTCGAGTTCTCTGATGGCTAATAGCGACGTCCTAAGATTCTGGTTTGCTTTGAGAGAAAGCAGGATCGTGGCAAAGTTGGAGGAGTGAGTGGTTCATTTATGCACACGCCGCAAGGGCATAAACCATTCAATTAGTTTCCACCACCGTGTCTCTTCGTCCTATTTTTATCCCTTCCCTAAACAACTCGTGTTTGTTAAGAGAGTGGCTAAACAGGCCTATTTATGCATAGAATGTAAGGGTGTGTACTAGAAATCAACGCCTTTTCGCACTGTTCATATCCCTTGCGTCTTTAAACGACAATAAAGATGCTAAAAGTGATTGTAGAATGTTTTCTCTCTCGCTACGCCTTCTCCTACCGCACTTATCTTGTTGAGTGTATAGACATCGGGATTGCTTATATTGGAGACGTCAGATTTGCGTCTGGTTTCCCAAATATTACAACAGCAACATACCGCTCTGCTAATCACCCTTCCCACATTCCTTATTTCGCTCCCTTGATGTTTCTCTCGAGTAGTTTGCTGAGGGATATTCGACGGGCTAATCATTTACGCTCGTCAATCCATACATTGCTCAGTCTTTGATGTAGTGTATCTACTTCAGCTTTCACACGCATTATGCCATGCCATTGCTCGTCACTTTGAGCCTCATCGTCAACGACATTTTTGATACTTTCCAAATTACGAAGCTGAATGCCGGCCTCTAAATGGACACGAGCTGGCACCTGTGTCTCATAGCCCCACATTTTTTCGTAATTCTCTGCCTTATTTTTCACTTCTTGGAGCTCTCTTTCAATTGACCGAACTTGGCGACGGTATTCTTCTCTTTCGGCTTCTTTGCGTCTTCTTTTAAGGCGCCTAGGCATCGTAGATCGCCAGATTGGTAAGTAGCTTATTATTGGCTTCGCAAGTAACGTTTGTCTGGACGAAGAGTATTCGAATATAACTGACTAGATCAGTAAACGAACTCCAAAATTCAAAGAGTCAAGTAGATTTGCCTACGTGAGAATAACTGTTTCTGCTATGGATGATAGAGAGACATGAAAATTCTGTCTTGCTGCGAAAAGGGGTTAACGCAGCAGTTTTAAGAGTTTAGTATACTTCATAGCCAGTCATTATGAGGATAATTGTTTGTATTACTTCGTTATCCTTTAAGAAACTTTGTGACCATTATCTCAGATACTAGGCCTGACAGCTTGTGGGGTTACAGCAAGGGAGTCAGCCTCGTTTAATTACACCAACTTGCCCTTAGGCTTTCAGGGGACCTAACAGCCAAACAAATGACGAAACATTGCTCATAATGAGAAACATAAATAGAAACGATAAAGATAAAATTTACCCGCAGGGATGAGGCGAGTCAGAATGATAGGTCCAGAAGCCTTGTTGCATGGGGTCCAGCCCATTGTGAACCCGTTGATACCACAAGGCTTTCTTAATCCTTCATCCCTATGGTGGGTGGCTTTACACTATTTCGTTAGCACAATGGAAAATTTATTGCTAAGTTGCTAGCTGCCATTTCAGCTTTATTCGCTCTTTCACTTACCGATGCAGTTTATTATAGCTTAGGAGCCATTGCGTCGCGCTGTCTCGTTCTTCCTCCTGATGCTTTCGCTGAGGTGTACCCAATCCCCCCGTTTATCCGCAATCTGATCATTCAGTTCCTTTATCGACCATTCAATAAGACCGATCTTGTCCCTGTGCAGGTGACATTCGATCCAATCTAGAAGCCCTAGCTGAACAGTTGCGGTCTCGGCGATCCGTTTCGGCTTGCTCTGATCACCCAGATCTCTGATGAAACGCTCCATTTCGCATCGGATAGACATTAATCCTTGTCGGGCTGCTAGAACTCTCGCCTCAAAAGCTCGGTGGTAAATATGAAGCATCCTGGTTGCCTAGCGGCCTGAATAGGGGCAAGGCTATTTGATGTTGAATCAGCGAGGAGGATTGGGATTTCTTTGCTTAAACAGGCCGGATGATCGCTGAAGAATTAAAAATACAAAAAGGAAAGGGCTCAGGCCGTTAGTGAGCGCAACACAGCATGTTGGCTAGTCTAGGCTCTCATGATATTAGAATTAACAAGGGACAGGCATGTAATACAATCATAGCGTAGAATAGAACTAGAAAAAACGCGTAAGGATGAGACGCAGGAGATATGTCTATATTTTGGCAGTAGTGGTATGAATGACCCCAGAGAGCAAATAGGAATTGAGCATCTAGAGCACGCAAGCTCATCACGAATGGATTCATTCGAATGCCCACAGAATAAGGTTAATCTCACAAGAGACTACTTACTAGCTCAACGGCATATGCCTTGAATTTTTGAGATGGTCTATGTCTCTGAACCTAATATGGAATCCCATTTGTAGTATTCACCACTGAATACCCGGGCTTGCCTCAAAATATTGCCCAGCAGACATGAGACAGTTACGAGAAGTTGGGTGACGGCTGTAGTCTCCGAGATATGAGATGGATGAGTCGGGTCCAGGTTTCATTGCTAATATATAGTAGCTTGGCTGAATGGCCAAGCCCGGATGGTTAGCGCAGCCTTGCCACAGAAATCTAGGTGTTCGTAATCACAGCGTGGTAGTTTCTGAGGCATTACGATCCTCGTGGCCCATGATCCTGCGGTGTGTTTAATTTTGCATGCCCATATTACCGAAGCAGTGGCTACTTCAAACAGCCTTCGGCGTGATTGTCGATTTCATACCTGACACGAGGACATCGTACTTGCACAATGCAAGAAGTTCGGTCTGGATCCAGGTATCACTCACTTTAATCATTTAGCCTGCCTTTCGCAAATCTTCTAGGAGATGTACGTGTAAACCTGAAGAAACCTCGATAGTAAGCCAAATATACTAGGGTTTAGGGCTTCCAGTCATGCTCAGTGCAGCAAGCGTTGCGCTTAGAAAGGCTGCAGGCGACGGCCGAAGTCTGAGCATTGGGGCCACACCATAGTTTGGTTGATTGTAAGCCGTCCTCTAGCGGTATTTTCGACTAATATCATACAACAACTCTACATCCCATCGGGTGTACACGGCGCGAGGTCGCGAAACCCCAACAGGTGGTTGCTCCCGGAGATGTAACAAGGAGGCGGTCTCGTGATGAGTCAGCAACCCCCGTACCTGGATATGATCGATAATTGTATGGCATATCTGCGGTAAACCATAGGTAGGTATGTTGCCAAAAAACGCCTCACCAGCTACATGGTCGTCGTCGTCGCTGCTGGGTTGCCAACCGATATCAACCTGCTTAGATCCAGCAACTAAACCCACTGAAACGCTTCGTAAGCAGCTCTCCTACCTGACTCCCTATCATCTGGCCATTACCACCGG